TATTTATCTTTAACAAATGTATACAGACAGGATCTTGGCCATCAGCTTTCAAAGATTCTTTGATTGTTCCTATATTTAAAAAAGGGGATGTCACGACGGCTAGTAATTATAGACCAGTTTCATTAATAACTAATTTTACGAAAATATTCGAAAAATTATTAAAAGTTAGATTAGTCTCTTTCCTTAATAAAAATAAGTTACTTAATATAAAACAATACGGTTTTAGACAAAATATATCAACTGAAGATGCTATGATAGACTTAATAAATAATGTGTCCTCGGCATTAGATAAAAGTACACCTTGTTTAAGTACTTTTATAGATTTATCAAAAGCATTTGACACTGTCAGCCATCCGCTACTGTTACAGTCACTGGAAAATATTGGTGTACGTGGAATATGTTTACAACTTTTTCAAAATTATTTATCAAACAGACATCAAAGTGTAAGAGTAGGGAATGTCTACAGTGATAAACTAATCATAGAATATGGTGTACCCCAAGGCACAGTATTAGGACCTATTCTATTCTCAATATACATAAATGATTTGTTTTCATTGCCAATAAGAGGAGACATTATTGGATTTGCTGATGACACAGCAATATTTCATAAAGCTGAATCATGGGTTGAATTAAAACAGTTAGTGCAAACGGATTTGCTTTACCTTAAAAATTGGTTTGACTATAAATTATTAACCCTTAACTTAGAAAAAACAACATACTTACCTTTTAGTTGTAACAAATCAAATCTTCCAAATTTTGACTCCATAGATTTACAAATTCAAGGAAAACCTTACAGTATTCTTCCAAAAACAAATGTAAAATATTTGGGAGTATTTATTGATTGCCATTTACGTTGGGATGTACATATAAACTATGTAATAAAAAAGTTACAGACACTCTTATACAAATTTAGATATATATGTAAGATATTAGACAAAACTCAGTTAAATATTGTTTACCATGCATTGGTGGAAAGCCATATAAATTATGGGGTCTTAACGTGGGGCGCTGCTGTAAAAAGCTATATAAAGCCTCTGGAAATCATACAAAAACGATTTCTCAAACTAATGTTGAATAAAAATCCCACTTATCCCAGTAATCAGTTGTATAGCGAAGCAAAATTGTTTGACATTCGACAGCTATTCTATTATAAATGCGCTTTAAAATTCCATTTAGCTGGAAAGCAATATGGCGAGAATAAATACTTTTATAATACTCGAGGGAAGAATTTATACAAACCGCCCTTTATGGCAAAAAATATTGGTCAAAGATCGTATGCTTATTTGGCTATAAAATTATATAACACATTACCTGATATCTTGAAAATTACTAAGT